TTTATTGGGAATTGGGAGCCCAGTCTCCATTCCCCAGCAGGAGATATTGCAGGGAATTGGGAGCCTGAGCTCCATTCCCCAGCGGCAGGCTGAGTTACAGGGGGCAGAGGTAGTTGTTCCTGCCCCCAGCAGCAGAGTGATATGCCGGGAAGGCAGTGTAAAGTGCAGGGAGAGGAGAACAGCGTCCTCCCTCCCCAGCGGCAGGCTGAGATACAGGGGGCAGAGGTAGTTGTTCCTGCCCCCCAGCAGCCAAGTGATATGCCGGGAAGGCAGTGGGAAGTCCAGGGAGAGGAGAGCAGTGTCCTCCCTCCCCAGCGGCAGCGTGATTTTTTGGGAATTGGGAGCCCAGTCTCCATTCCCCAGCGGCAGAATGATGCTTTGGGAATTGGGAGCCCAGTCTCCATTCCCCAGCGGCAGAATGATGCTTTGGGAATTAGGAGCCCAGTCTCCATCCCCCAGCGGCAGCACAGATCATTGGGAATTGGGAGCCCCGTCTCCATTCCCCAGCGGCAGAGTGTCCTACCGGGAATAGAGAGCCCAGTCTCCTTTCCCCAGCAGCAGGACTCTGTATTGGGAGCAGAGACAGTCGGTCTCCCTCCCCCACAGCTGGAAGTATGTATGGGAGAGGAGCTTGTTACCCCCTCTCCCCAGCGGCAGCTTAATGTACAAAGGGGAGACAGTAAGCCCCACAACCGTGCAGATGGGACCGTAGTCTCTACACTGCCAGCACAGGGGGTAGGGACGGTCGGTCCTGCCCCCCAGCGACAGGGCTGTTTAGCCAAAGGGGAGACAGTCGGTCTCCCCCTCCAGCAGCAGAGATGGGTAACCAAAGGGGAGACGGTCGGTCTCCAGCAGCAGGACTGTGCATCTAAAGGGGAGACGGTCGGTCTCCAGCAGCAGGACTGTGCATCTAAAGGGGAGACAGTCAGTCTCCAGCAGCAGCAGCAGAGCGGTGTATTTAAAGGGGAGACAGTCAGTCTCCAGCAGCAGCAGCAGAGCGGTGTATTTAAAGGGGAGACAGTCGGTCTCCCCCTCCAACAACCAGGCTTCCACCAGGCTACCCTCCCAGTAGCGCTGGCAACAGGGCAGAGTGCCGCTGGTCTCTGCCCACGCAGCAACCCACCAAGTCAGCGTACCCGTACCCAGCACAGCCGTGGTGAGGCACCTGGACATGGACAAGCTTCTCCTTTACCCAGGTGTAGTAACCATTTATTGTGGGTGGGCTGTGCTGTTGATTATGTTTTGTGGGTGGGCTGCTGGACTAACAAGGGCACTGACCGGCAGGAGGTCAGATACCCTGTTAGTCTGTTTGGAAAAGGGGAGAGATGTGACGAGACCAATCTCGCCACATTGCATTGGAGGAGCCTGGTTGCCCGCCTGCTGCCTTTGGATTATGGACCGGCAGCTAAAGGGTTAATTTTACTGTGCAGAAGGATTTATTTCTCCCTTTCTGCACAGCCGTTCGGTAGATTCCATCTACCAAACAAACAGTCTCTTTTCAGCCTCCCCAGAGCCGTGGGAAGCCGGCCGGCGACCTTAATTGGCCACCCAGAAGCTGGAGTGCGCCCTCCATTTACCTCCCTGAAGCCGCGGTTAACCGCGGCTTAACGAGCGTGTGCCGGCAATTGACCACCCAGTAGCTGCGGTTAACCGCAGCTTAATTGATTGTTACTGGGTGGTCGCGGTTACACTTAGCCGCCACACGATGGCGGTGTTCTGGAGCTCCCCGGGCAGCCAGCGCTTGTCTGCCCGGCTTTCATGCACCAAACCCGGACACTTTTACGTGCAGGCACCGCTGAACCTCCAACCCCTGGTTCTAATTCGCACGGATTGAACGAATGCATGTAAATTCGGTATTTTATGTTGGAGGAATGTTTTAACCCAGATAGCTATGCCATGGAGCCTATTCGTGGAATTAAAGACTTTGGCTCCATGGCAATTAAAACTGTATTCGTGTGGTCTGAGTGCCATTCACCTAATAATGTGCACTCAGACCTGAGCTATCTGGGGATATGTTACATGTCTGTGTTTTATGTAGTAAATGTTACTTTGTGCATTTTAAAGTATAATGCTGGTTTTGTGTTCCCACGTGTGTAATGGAGTTTTGCCTTTGACTTGGGAGATAATTGAGTTACTTCCCAATTATCTCCCAGGGCAGAGGGAGGAAGCCAGGATGCATTGTGGGAATATACTGTGACTGTGTGTCCTTTTTGTATACTTGTCTGTCCCTTGTCACAGTCTCCCATTTGGTCCCCTAGGGGAGTGTCCACCAGGTGGGAGACCTGCATAAAAGCTGGGCAGGTAGCCCTCATTAAACAGACCACTGCTTGACCCTCAACACGGAGCCTTGTCTCGTCTTTGGGGGGATTTACTGTATGCTGCTAAGGACTGATTGCCAGGAGTGTAAGCCGCTTGGGAGCTTTTCCTGTTCGTCTGCCAGCAGCTATTCGTGAGGTTCCAGTTCGTGTATTTGGAGTGCTACCTTATTCCCTTGTATGCCGTTCGGGAGTTTGGAGCATTCACTTGTATGCAGTTCGAGTGTTTGGACCATTCCCTTGTATGCAGTTCGAGTGTTTGGAGCATTCCCTTGTATGCCGTTCGGGAGTTTGGACCATTCACTTGTATGCAGTTCGAGTGTTTGGACCATTCCCTTGTATGCCGTTCGGGAGTATGGAGCATTCACTTGTATTCAGTTCATGAGTTTTGGTGATTCTACAGTAGCTGTGCCTGTCTCTGAAAGGGGGATTATCGTCTAAGCGGTTTTTTCCCCTTTTGTGCAAAACGGTCCGTTACAATAACCATTCCACAAGGGACAAGTAACTTTCTTTTACCCCTACAGGTCAAGAAGGGTCAGAGATTAAAAAACTGACACCCTGATCTGTTTATCCAATTGGATACAACAATTAGGGATGGTGGTAACATATACACCAATGGTAAGTATTGGTAAGAATCCCACCTACGTAATAGTCAGCAATGTTACACCCAATAGTGTCACTTTACCAAAAGGAACATTATTAGGTCTAGCATTGGATGCAGAGTACTATACATTTGGTTTCCAAAACCAAATTATAGGCCTCATCCCTGAAGAATACTTAACTGAGGACGAAATTGTTGATCAAATATTCCATTCCTCCCCAGAAGGATTATTCACTATTCCTATCTGTATATCCCTTTAACGTCGAAGAAGGCTCGTGTAAAATCGAAGAGGCATCGATCACCTTCGATCATCCACTTAATGAGCAGGAATCACGAGAATATCACGACCAAAGAGAAAATGTACGTCAACACCGAACTGACCTAACTTCTAGGCATGAAGAAGCTTATGAGATAGGTGTGGCGAAACCAACCTCGCCACTGGGCATTGGAGAAGACTGATTGCCAGCCTCGTGCCCTGTGACTATGGCCCCTGAAATGTATTGCCCTTTAAGAAACTTATTTGGGCTTATTGGATTTTGAAACACTTTTTGCCCCTTTGAATACACACCCCTCCCCGTTTCCTGTCTATTGTTCTCCAGCAGGGCGTTGTCCCAGGGACACTGCCAGACCAGTTGGAACTTGCTGTTTTGCCCCTCCTCTGTCTCTCATCAGCCCTTGTTATGGTTTAACCCCATGGCGATTTGAACGCTGTTCAGCTATAGTGAGCGCTCAGATCCAAGCTATCTGGGAATATTTTCTGTATGCTGGAGATAATTGGCTTACCACACCCAAGCCATGTTTGCAATTGGTCAAAAAGGGACTTCCAACTAACTTTTGAACCACTGAACCAATTTGTATGCTTTTGACACATGTTCATATTTGGAGAATGCGGATTCTGAAAATGTAAGTTTTATGTGAATGTGATGTATACGTTTAAAGTTATGAATATTGTGCAAAAGTGTGTATTTTCCTGCCTGTGATAATTACGTTAGCCCATTGTGTTCAGTAATTGTATCACAGGCAGAGGGGAGGATTTCTGCTGGTATGAATGGGAGTGTTTAGCTGTGTTGTAATGTATTGATCGGTTTGTTCTTCAAAACCCTGTGGGTGGTACTATGTTTGTAAAATGGGCATAGAAGCAGAGTGTTTGATTAAAAGCTTCAGTTCTACTTCACCCTCAATTTGGAGTGCCATCTCTTATTTGGGGAATCTGCTACAAGGGATTGCTATGCTAGTCATACTCTCTTGCTATATCACTACTAAGCTCTTGTAAGAGCTTGTTCCTGTCTTGCTCTCTGAAGGTGGTTATGGTGTCGGCTGGAGTGCTTGGAGCCCTCAGGAAGCGCTAGGATCATCCTTCAACGGAGGTACCCAGTCGGGGTGCCAGAGAATCAGTTACAACTGGTTCACCCATGTTAAAATTGTTATTGGGTTTGCAATGATAATAATGATATTATGGTTGATTGTACTAAGTGTAAGGTTCAAAGCTCTTACAGGTACAAAAATATACGAAATTGTTCATTACCCGCACAGGCCAATGCCAGAAGAAGTGATATGAGTGCACAATATGTCTTGTAACTTCTATAGTGACTAAATTACTCATTGCTATGTTAATCACCAAGGGAGGTTATGTCAGTATATTTATATTGGCAGACATTTTGTGCTAAGATAGAAATTAAAAGTGTATTTTGCCAGAGTCACTCAAAACAGAGCTGACTCCATTTTGTATTTATAAGAACAAAAAGACACAGAATTACTTTCTCTCTGTAACTCTATTCATTCAAGCCTGAGCTAAGGAATGCATTATGTAAACAAGGCAATGATGTCTCACAAGAAGGGGGATGGAATACTATTTCTTAATGTTAGTGGAATAGAAATAATTTTAAACACAGACACAAGAACCAGATAACAGTTACAGATAATACTTCGTAATTAATTTTACTTTCTAAATCTTACAAAGTCCCATTGTAGGTAAAGGGTGAAATTAAGGTTAGCAGGTGTCTATTCCAGAATTACGATTGAAATTGCCACCACGAAGACTGGGGAAATCCGTTGAAATTGACAGGAATTAGATTTATACAGGCATAAAATAGATAAATTATTGACGTCAAAATCATCATCATTTTCAGTTAACCCATTCCAGGACAATACATTTTGGTGATGTAATTGCGCCATCTACTGACCAAAATCTAGATGATAGTCTGTAAGGTAGACACGCCTACAGTTCCCTATTCGTCCGATCAACTAATGACGTGCAGAGAGTTTGGCCCTTTAAAAAGTAAGGACAAAGGGAAGAGAAGGAGATTCGAACACTCCTTGAAAGGACTCTCTCTTTGAAACATGGACAATAAACTAGAAAGTAGTGTACCTGTAGACTGGGAGAAAATAGCATATGCCTGTACTTCATAATAAATAATTAAAGGTATGAAGATAGAAAAAGTAACTTTAAAAACAAAAAAAGATACAATATGATAAACTAGAATAAGCTCTGATGTCTTGAGTGATATAAGAGTAATCAGCTGCAGCACACGTCTGTGCTGTTTGGGGAAGACGTTTAAATAATAATGTCGTAATAATAGGAGAGTGATAAAGTATAATGTATGGTAAAGGCACACTTCAACATATATAAGAATGGAGCCTGCAAGTGCAAACCGCATGTATATAGTGTACACTATCAGCAATATCTGTGTGGGATACTTGATATTCAAAAAAATATATATAGTGATGATAGAGCCAGATACAAACAAAGATACTGAAATTATACTGGTAGATCCATATAAGAATGGCGCCTGCAAGTGCAAGCCACATGTATATTGTGTACACTATCAACAATATCTGTGTGTGATACTTGATATTCAAAAAAATTGTGGTAATAAAACCAGATACAAAGATACTGAAATGATACTAGTAAATCTATGCCATTGATGACAGAAGATCTAATAACGTGCTATATTCCTAGTAGGAATAATAACAGAAGGTATATCCTTAAAGATTATGCTCTGTCAATGGGTGTTAGGTAATCGACTAGAATGGCTGTCTGCAGTTTGTCAAAATGGAAATAGAGGAGATATGTATACAGGTAGAACTAGTAAATAGATGAGTACTATATAAGGTGAAAAATAGCACTATATAGTAATACACTAGTACTAGGAGAGAAAAAAAAGAGGCATGCTAAAGGTCTGCAACTATTCCTGCAAAAGTATTGACAAATAATAGCTGTCCTGAGCTGTCAAAAAGAACAGAGGCAGGTATTCAATAAGGTAAGCTGCACTATTGCTATCAATCCACCCCCCGTGCCTTTGAGAGCACCTATGTCTAACCAAGCTGAAAAATAGACTAAATTACAGGAAGACACTCAGAGTAGTTGTCGTTGTATAATAAGATGGCATGTATAAAGCCCTAAAAGCCCCTGACGCGCGCGTTTCATCCATGTTTCAAAGAGAGAGTCCTTTCAAGGAGTGTTCGAATCTCTGTTTTTATTCCATTTTTTTTTTGACACTATTGAATATACAATCATTTTTTTTTGTTTTTTGACCTTTTGGTCTTTTTATCTGTGCCTTCTATCTTCATACCTTTAATTATTTATTATGAAGTACAGGCATATGCTATTTTCTCCCTGTCTATAGGTACACTACTTTCTAGTTTATTGTCCATTTCCACTAGCGGTTACCCCCCTGCATCTAGTGTACCTCATTTGGCTGTACTCAATTAGTTCTCTTTGAAACATATTCTCACTTTCAAACTCTCGGGGACTTACACATTCTGACTCTCGCACAACTCAAGACACACTTTCCAGGACACTTAAAATTTTACTATTACTTTCTAACCAACACCACTTTTCTATTATTTATAATCCTATATACATCAATCATACTTGCATTCAAGTTCCTGGGACTATCTACTCATCTGATAAGAGCATCTACAACAAAACTGGTAAATATGCTGGTTTTATTTAGTTAAATTAAATTAATTAAAATTTTACTAATAGCAGCAATATATCTTGATAAATCTTGTCAGATTTCAATCATTAGAAATCTTAGTTAACTAAAGAATATATGGTTATAAAAATTTCATTCCTGCAGGTGGAATAAAGATAACAATATATTAAAGGTAATATTTACCAACAGATTAGCATGGCACATTTTATCCAGAAATAATGACCTGTTCTGATATAAGATAGTGAATCTTATGTAGGAAAATTAAAATTCGGCTAATGTAAAATCTGGTAGAATTATTCTTATTGGATGATTCCAGGAATGGTTAATGATCTGGTATGAACATTGCTTTAATTGACAAATTGCAACAGAATAGGATATTACATGCCTGCAGTGGAAGAGTTAATCAGTGTGATCTAACTGTTAGCGAAATTTTTATTGCTTCTTGCTGCACTGTTGTATTCTGTGAAATTCTGTTTTCTGTGTGAAGTTGGTTTCTAAGTGAAGTTCCCTATCATAAATCTCTTGACAGCTGATTGCTTTTAGCCGCTGTAATGTGTTAAACCATTGCCATATTATATGCCTATGTTATACCTAAATACAAATCGACCAGGGATCCAGCTTATATCACTAAAATATAAACACAAAATACAACATAGTGTAATAAAGTATCAGCCTTAAACAAATCATTTCACGTTTCAAGGTTACACTCTCAAATTGATGTTTTGTATCAGGCCTTCAGGGTGCCTCCCCTATGGTCAGGGGGGTGCGTCCTGTCCTTGGTAATTAAGCCAATTCCAAAATCGGGAAGTCCACATGCTCCCAATGGTTCAATAAAAAAGGAATTTATTGGCTTAAAATACAAAATATAAAACAATAACGGTCCTACGCGTTTCCTTCCCCTTAGGAAGCTTCCTCAGGGACCAAAAACTAAAACAAGAATGATAAAACATACAAATACACTACAAAAAATGAACAAGTGTACAAATGAGCCTGTTTCCCCCTTCCTGCCCCCTCCCCCTCATTCCCTTAAATATGGGAGAGCTGAGAGTGGTGGATGTTGATCCATACTTCTCTTCTGATTGGACCTCCTATCTTCCAGTACTTGCCGTAAAAAAGGTTGTCCCAACTGTTTCCATTTGGTTGTTTCTTTTTTTTGTGGTCAAATTTTAATTCCGGAGTCCACTTCCGGTTTGGCGCACTTCCGTGTGTTCCACTGTGTCTCTGCTTAAAATGGCCGTGCATTCCATCTGATCCGGCGAACAACGTTCTGGTGGTCGCCAGAGGTAATGCCAAATATTGCTGTCCATAATGTGTCATATGAAAAAAAAATTACATAATAGTTCATTTTATATTTTCCAGTTGAACTGCACATACCTTCCCCAATTGTTCCCATCCTATTCACCAGCACACAATTGTCCATTTTCACTATAATTTCGTCATTTTTAAATTTATCATTTATCATCAAAGATTGATGTTGCTCATAACTATATTATATTTACATATCTATATTGTTTAATATGTATATAACCAGGACATTGTGTGCTGATGTATATTTCTGGGTATTACAATAAGCAAACGTAATCTTGTCTTCATACATAGATTAAACTCCTTTACCTCCTACTTTCTATTATTATTGTGAGTGTTCGATATTTTTATTGTGAGTGTTTTTATATTATTTCATTTATTTAGGGGAAAGAAAAAAACTTTATTTCCCCAAAATAATTACTCCTTATTTCCATAGTTTCTCTTTTGAGTGATTGTGTTGCATTTTTTTTAATTCCAAATCCAGCATTAAACTTCTCTTATATAAGTATCAGTGTATCTGACTGAGTCTGTACTGTGTGTGTCAGAGTATGTATCTGTGTGTGTGTCATTGTATCTGTATGTCTGTGTGTCAGTGTGTGAATCTTTACGTCTGTGTATCTGTCAGTGTGCGTATCTGCAAATCTCTGAATCA